AGAGAGAGAGATGAGAGAGAGATCAGAGAGAGAGAGAGAGCGAGGAGAGATAGATAATAGATAGATAGATAGAGAGAGGGAGTATGAGACGAGAGAGAGAGAGAAAGAGACGAGAGAGGAGTAGAGAAGCAGAGAGAGATGATAGAGAGAGAGAGAGATGAGAAGACAGAGACAGAGAGAAAAGATGAGAAGTTGAGTGGAGTTGAGTGTTGTGCAGCTGAGTGTGTGTGTAATTGTTGTGTGTATCTATAGCGCCTAATGCAGACAACGATGAAAGTGCGGTATCGGCAATGACAGCAAAGGGCCGCCCATAAGCCCCTTTCGCAGTTCCTAAGCCAGAGTGGCCATGACGGATGGTGAATGTCTGCACTTGTTTTGTTCACTCTGAAGCATAATCAATCCACATCCTTTGACATCTGGCACTGCCGAAACACCCCAAAATATATTCTGCGATTTTTACATTTTAGTTTATTTATCTATCTATTTATTATTATTGTTGTTGTTGTTAGTACTATTATTATTATTTTGTCACTTTTTTTTTACTAATTTACTGATTCTTTATACCACGGCACTCTTTGGACTTTTTTGAATTGTTGTATCATTGTGGTGAATGAAAAGAAAAAATGGGCACCTTTGTCGCCCATAACCATGTCAAATATGGAAACGGTCCTTCATCAAGCCACTTTGTTTATAATGGCTCTTTATACCGAAACTGACCGTTGTTAGGGAGTACCTAGGTAGCCACTCCATTAGATAATATAATAATAATACACAGTCTACTGCCATTCTAGCGATTTTCCGGCTTGAACTAGATTTTTTTTTATCTAATATTAATATTATTTATTTATTTATTCATTTTTGTTATGGTCTAGCGGGAAAATAGTTTAACATTTACTATAGATCTAGCGTTTTTTTTTTTATTTCTTTCCTTTAACAGGAAAAGGAGGAGCTTTTATTCTTCTATCTAGCGATTTTTTAATACCCAGTTTAGCGGTTTAGCGACAATAACAATTGCGCAAACGCTGCGTACACTCATTTCAAGCAGACGGGGCTATCGGCAAGGAAGTTAGTAAACAGCTGAACAGATGCGCTAAAGGAGATATCATCCAATGTTCTATATTATTGAAAAAATACTTAAAGACGCGGAGAGAGTGCAGAAAGTTGAATGGATGAGAGAGAATGGATAAAAGAATAGTGTAGAGCAGCAATGGAATAATGGAAGAGGATAAGATATAGCGTGAAGAGAGATAAACGGAAAGAGAGAGAGAAAGATAATGGTAGACAGTTCGGAAGAGAAAGTGACATTTTCATCTCGGTTAATAACTTGACTTTAAAGACGAGTGTATTGAGGCATGTGGTACGGGGAGCAAAACCTGACCCATCGTATTTACCTACCTGTTCTCCCTCCCCTCCCTTTCTTTCTTCCTACTTTCCTTTTCTTTCTTTCTCTTATTTTCTTTCTTTCCTTCTTCCTTACTCTTTCCCTCCCTCGCCTCCCTTCCTTCCTTCCTTTTTCCTTCCTTCCTTTCCCGCTACCCTCCCTTCCCCTCCGCGGCCTCCTCCCGTTCCTGCCCCCTCCCTTCCCCCCTCCCGCCTCCCTTCCGGCTCCTTCCCCTCCCTCCCTCCTCCCGTCTCCCCCTCCTTCCTCCCTCCCTCCTCTCCTGCTCTCTTCCCCCTCCCTCCGTTCCTTCCCTCCTCCTTCCTTTCGCTCGCCTCTCCTCGCTACCAGTCTCCCACTATACTCCCCATACATACCCTGGACCCCGCTCTTTTGCATTCCAGTCCACTCTTTGTCCGGGTAACGAAGGTGAGAGTGCTATGGCAAGGGGCGCGCAAAAACAAGCCGTATTAACCGCCAGAATAATGTTGTTTTGGGTGGGGTCTGCTCTCTATTTCTATTTTTTAAATGCATGAGAGAGATTTTTGCGTTCTCTTATTTTTTTGTAGATCTTATTTATTGATTGCTTCTTTTTTTTTTTTTTTTTGGGGGGGGGGTTCTCTGTTTTGCTTGTTTGTCTCTCTCTCCTTCACTTCCTTCTCTTCTCTCTCTTTTTCTCTGTTCTCGCTCTCGTTCTCTTCCTTCTCTCTCTCCCCTCTCTCTCTCTCTCTCCTCTCTCTCTCTCTCTCTCTCTCTCTCTCTTCTCTCTCTCTCTCTCTCTCTCTCTCTCTCTCTTCTCTCTCTCTCTCTCTCTCTCTCTTCTCTCTTCTTTCTTTCAGATACGGACATATACTGACATAAATCATAAATATGCACAATACAATAATACGATAGCGGTGAAAATAAAGCCGCCAGAAACAAAAAATGAAATAATAATTTTCTGTCACACATTATTTTTCTCATTAGATTTTCCTTTATTTGGCTACAGAGGTAATTTGCATACCTAATGCCATCGTTTTAACCCTGTTGTAGAAATAACTCTTCATCCATCACTATAATTATTGTAACTGACAGGATCAGCAATGAATAAAGGAAAAAATGAAGAAAACAGTTTTCCCGCCATTTTTGAAGTAAAAAAAATGTTCGTTATTTTTTTCAGATGATTGCCAATCCTGGAAAAATCATTATTACCGATGAAGTACAAGCTGTGAGGAAAGAAGCGCAGAGACTGAAAAGGGAAGAAGGCGTAGATATCATCATTGCCTTAGGACACGCAGGATTCAAGAAGGATTTGGAACTAGCGAGGGAAATCGAAGAGGTAGACGTAGTCGTGGGCGGCCATACGAACACTTTCCTCTACACCGGTAAGAATGACGTTTTACCTTATTACAATATGTATACATATATACATACCTATATATGTGTATATATGTACATATATATACATCTATATATATATATTATATATATATATATATATTATATATGTACATATATATACATCTATATATACATTATATATATATATATATATTATATATATATATATATATTATATATTATATATATATATATATGTACATATATATACATCTATATATATATAATATTATATATATATATATGTACATATATATATAAATATATATATATGTTACATATATATATATGTATATATATATGTATATATTATATATATATATTACATATACATTATATACATAAATATACACACACACACACACACACACACACACACACACACACACACACACACACACACACACACACACACACACACACACACACACACACACACACACACACACACACACACATATACATTATATATATATATATATATATATATATATATATATATATATAATATATATAATATGTATGTGTATACATATATATGCATATATAAACATATACATATATATTACACATATGTATACATAAGTATATGTGTTTATATATGTATATTATATATATATAATATACTTATACATATATTATACACGCACACACACACACACACACACACACACACACACACACACAACACACACACACACACACACACACACACACATATATATATGTGTGTGTGTGTATGTGTATATATATGTATATGTATATATATGAATATAATTTATCTAATCATCTATTTATAGTTTATGACCACACGTTTATCTACCCCCTCCACCCCCCCCCCCTTTACCACACACAACAAAACAAAAACACCTTTATAATCCATTTATATAAACCTCTTATAAATCGCTTGTGAATGATTTCCAGAAAACCGTCATTTTTTTTTTTTAAATCCTGGACAGAAACTCGGTTCATAATGCAATCACTGTTATTTTAACGGGGCTGTGACGTCACAAGTGTTAATTCATATTGTGAAAATAACCCTTTTTGGGGCTTCTATTTTTGTGTTCTCTGAAATGCATCTTTGTATTGCTGGAAGAAGGCAAAGGAATGAATGAAGAGGGAAATGCAGAAGGGACAGATAAAGGGAATGAAGGAAAAATAGAGATAATAAGTTAGGAAGTAAGGAAGACGGAAAAAAGTGAATGGTGGGATAAGGAAAGAAGAAGAATAAGAACAAGGAGTTTGAAGGTGTTCTAAGATAAGAAAATAGGAAAACGCGGCGACAATAAGGAAAGAGAAAAGGGAGACAGGGAGAAAGAGGGAGACAGAGAAGTAGATAAAGAAGGAAAGGGAGACGGAGAAGGAGGAGGAGAAGGAGACGGAGAGGGAGACAGAGAGACAGCGAAAGAGGAAAGACAGGAAGACGTAGAAAGAAACGGAAAGGGAGACAGAAGGAGACAGAAAGAGAAAGAGACAGAGAAGGAGACGGAGAGAGACAGAAAGAAAGACAAAACAGGAGACGGAGAGGCAAATAGAGAGGGAGACAGAGACACAGACAGAAAATGAAACAAAGAGGGAAAGAAAGAAGAGAACCAGAACCAAACACAACGAACGAAGAACAGATACCTGAAACCCAAACAATCCCAAGGGCAGAAAATAATACAAAAATAATACGACTTAACAACAAGTGAATCACCGAACATGTCTCAGACCAAACGAGTAAACATTAAAAGGAAGGATAAAGGAGACGATGATAACCAAAGTAAGTGTAAATAGGGAGAATTAATTGATAAAAGGGAACGAATCATTTTGAATAACCGTCGTTATGTATCAGAATTTCAGCTCAGTGTAGTTACAAGAATTAAGAATATATACAGTGTGTTGCATAATTCATCTTGTGTAAGTACACGATTTGCTTTGTTGTCGAAATGTTTAAAATAATTTCCTTAGTTACGTCTTGTCATCTATGAAAAAAAAAAATCCCATTAAACGTCCCATTAAAAAAATGTAATGCGATACAATAGTGAAATGTTATTGAAATGCGATTAAACAATAAAGATGAGAGAGAAGAAACTACGTGATGAATATAAAAAAAACAGAAGTAAAACTGTAAAAAGGTAAAGAATAAAATTAAGATAAAAATAAAAAATAAAAAAGTAGATACAAAACAAAAACACAAATTAATAAGAAGGAAAAAGGAGAGAATGATAAGTGTGAAAAGTGTGATAAGGAAGATAAAGATATCAATGAATAAATAATAGGATAAAGATAATAAATGAGATCAAACCTTATGATAATAAAAAAATTAAAACCCAAAAGTAAAAAAAAAATCATATGACAAAGCTCCAGACGATATAGACATAAAAGAAAAAATGAATATAAACCAAATAAAACCCAAAAAACAAACAAATAAAAAAAAAGAAAAAAAGCTATACATTTACTCGATACAAAAATGATTAAAAAAAATATACATTTACTCAGTACGAAAACCTACAAAAAGTCCTGTTACCCACCAACTTGAATTTGATCCCCAGCCCATTTATTTTGCTTCCTAACGACTGACTAACCATCGGCCACTGACCACCGTTCGCGTGAATTCGGCGAACCCCAAAAACACAGCCGCTGTCTCCTCGCTGAATGTGCAGCCTCACTCCACATCCGCCCGTGGTTGTAGAAGGGTTGTAAAGCTGTTAGGAGGGCCTTGTCCCGGGCGGCTGGGCTGTCTGTCTGTCTCTGTCTGTCTTTTTTTCTCTTCTCTTCTCGTTCTCACTCAGTCTTTTATTGTTGGTGTTATTGTATTATTATTATTATTATTATTATTATTATTATTATTGTTATTATTTATATTATTATTTATTATTATTATTATTATCTATTCTCTATCTCTCTTCTCTCTCCTCCTCTTCTCTCTCTCTCTCCTCTCTCTCTCTCTCTCTCTCTCTCTCTCTCTCTCTTCTCTCTCTCTATCTCCTTCTCTCTTTTTCTCTTCTTTTCTCTCTTCTCTCTCTCTTTTCTTCTCTCTTCTCTCAGGGGGAAAAGAGAGAGAGAGAGAGAGAGAGAGAGAGAGCGGGGTACACGAAACACACACAACCCCCTCCTCTACACACAACACCCACCCCCTCCCCCACTCATTCCCCCTCACCACCCTTCCCTCCTTCCCCCACGACATACCCTTAACCCTCTCCCCTCCACTCCCCCAGGCGACTCCTCCTTCTTCTTCCCCCCTCCTCATCCAATATTCCTTCACCCTCCCATCTCCCCACCCCCCAGGCGACTCCTGCCTCCTTTTCTTCCTTCTTCCCCCCTCATTCCTTCCGCTGCTCATTCCCTCCCTCCCTCCCCCCCCCACCCCCCTCCTCCCCTCCCCCTTCCCGCCCCTACCTTCCCTCCCCTTCTCCCTCCCACCCTTTCTCCCTTCCCTTCCCTCCCTCCCTCCCTCCCTCCCCTCCCCTCCCCCCCCACCTCCCTCCATGATTTCCCTCCTTCCCCGGCCCCCCTCCCTCCCTCCCTCCACCCTTTCTTTCCTTTCTCATCCGCACCCTCCCCCCCCCCCCCTCCCGCGACCATACCCTTCCTTCCCCTCCCCTCCCCCACCCCCCCCCTCCCCCCCCGCCCACACTCCCCCCGCCCAACCCTTAACCCACCCCCCCGCCCTTCCCCCCCCACCCCGCCCCCCCCCCCGCCCCCCCCCCCCCCCCCCCGCCCGCATACCCTTAACCCTCTCTCTTCCCCTCCCCACAGGTTGACTCCCCCCCTCCCCCCCACCCATCCCCCCCCCCCCCCCCTTCCCCCATGCCCCATAAAAACCCCTCTCCTTCCACAAGCACCGCCTCCCATGAACCCTTACCCTCCGCCAAACCCTTCCCTCTCCTATCCCCTCCCCCACAGGTGACCCCCCCCCCCCCCGCCGAACATACGCTATAACCCTTCTCTCCTTCCCCTCCCCCAGGTTGAGCTCCTCCCCCCACCCCTCCCTCCCCCCGACATACACTTAACCCGTCGTTCCCTTTTCCCCCCATCCCGCTCTCCCTCCTTTCCACCCCCCCTTCCCATGACATACCCCTTAACCCTCTCCCTTTCCCCTTCCCCAGGCGACTCCCCCTCCCTTCGCCCTCCCTCCTTCCCCCCTCACCTGTCTTCCTTCCACCCCCACCCTCTCCCCCCCAGGAATACCGTTACCCTCTCCCCTTCCCCCCCCTCCCTCCCTCCTTCCCCCCTCACCCTTCTTCCTTCCTCTCCCCCACCCCTCCCCCGGCCGACATCCCCTTAACTCACTCTCCTTCCCCTCCCCCAGGCGACTCCGACCCCTCCACGGAGCCCAGCGTCGGCCAGTACCCGACCGTCGTGACCCAGGCTTCGGGGCGGCGGGTGCTGGTGGTGCAAGCGTACGCCTTCGGGAAGTACCTGGGTCATCTGGAGGTCACTTTCGACGCGGCGGGCGAGGTCAAGTCCTGGCGAGGGAATCCCGTGCTCATGGACAACACGGTGGAGGAAGGTGAGCTTGTGTGGTTGTGTGTGTGGTGCGTGTGTAGTGGTGGGCTGTTGTAACGTGTTGTGGTGTTGATGTGTGTTATGTGATGCGTGTTGTGTGGTGTTGTAATGTGTTGTGGTGTGGTGTGTGCTGTGTGATGCGTGTTGTAATGTGTTATCGGTGGTGTTGTGTTGTGATGATGTGACTGTGTTATGCTGTGTTATTGACCATTTTTTGCCGATGGTGTTGTTGTATTGTGCGTTATGGTGTTGATAATGGCTCTATCGGTGTTGTGATTTTTTAGGATTGTGATGGTGGTGTATCGTAGTGATGAATGATGACTGTTTTCTCAATTATTGACGTTATTGTGCTTGTGTTCATGATGGTGACTTGGTGGTTGTGTTGTGAAAGTGATGCGTTGAGTTGTAAAGGTGATATGACGTGCGGTGGTGAGATTGGGTAGTGATGATTGTGATAGTGATGATGGTGATAGTGAAAGTGATGATGACGATGATGATGATGCTGGGTGGCAGGTGGGATGGTACTGATGATGATGGTGTAAAGGCAATAGTGCTTACAGTGGTGGGGGTGATCATCATCATTATCATTATCATTATCACATTATTATAATCATATATTATCATTATTATATTATTATCATTATCATTATCATCACTATCATCATCTGTGATCACTATATTATCATTATCATGTATCATCACTATCATTATCATCACTATCATTATCATTATCATCACTGGTCATTATTCATCATATCATTATCATCACTGATGGATTATCATTATCATCACATCATTTATCATTATCCGGCATCGTTATCATTCTTCATTATCGGTATCATTATCATTCATCGTCATCGTCGTCGGTTATTGTTTATCAGTCACATGACTGAACTTATTATTATCTTTATTATGACCATTTGCTCGATGACTACAAATTATCATTATTAAAAAAAGAAAAAAGGAAAAAGAAAAACATTTATTAAATAGTACAACAATATGCATGCACTTGGTTATGTGGAAGAAGAAAGAAAACGAGAGAGAGAGGTGGAGGAGAGGAAGTGATGTGAGTTGAGAAAGAGAAAGAGTAAGAGAGTGAGAAAGAGAAAGGTAAGAGAGTGAAGAAAGAAGAGAGAGGGGAGAGGAGGCGGGAGAGAGGAGAGAGGGAGGAAGGAGGGGAAGGATGAAAAAAGAGAGAGAGAGAGAGAGAGAGAGAGAGAGAGAGAGAGAGAGAGAGAAGAGAGAGAGAGAGGTGAAGAGGGAGAGAGAGAGAAGAGAGCACGAGACGAGAGAGAGAGAGAGGAGAGAGAGAGAGAGAGAGGTGGGGGGGCGAGAGAGAGAGAGAGAGAGGAGAGAGAGAAGAGAGGCAGATAGAGAGGGGGGATAAAGATGAGTGAAGAGAGATGAGAGAGTGAGAGAGAAATGAAGAGGGGAACCACATTAACCGACAGACCAACCGTGGAGAGAGAGAGAAAGAGACAGACGAAATGAAGGACCTCGGAGGAGAGACGACAGACCGGACAAAACGAGCAGACCACAGACAGAACGACAGACCGACGAACCGAACAAAACCGACAGACCGACAATACCGACAAACCGACCCAAAATCCGACAGGACACGCCACAAGACGAGACCGATAATGAAGCCTCGGGGCAGGCAGTGGTGCCTCTCCCCCCTCCCCCCTCCCTTCCGTGCCCACGCTGTCGAGGCGGTCTTTATAAACAGGCTCTTTGTATATGCGTGTAACTGCATCTGACTCTTTCGCTCTTCCACGCTTCCTCTTGCTCACTGACCCCCCATCCCCTCCCCCTTCTCTCTCTCTCTCTCTCGTTCTCTCTCTCTCATCTCTCTCCTCTCTCTCTCTCTTCTCTCTCTCCTCTCGGCTCTCTCTCTCTCTCTCTCTCTCTGTCTGTCTGTCTCTCTCTCTTCTCGTCTCTCTCTCTCTGTCTTCGTCTTCTCTCTCTTCTCTTCTCGTCTCTCTTTTCTCTCTCTCTGCTCCTCGTCTCCTCTTCTCTCTCTCCTCTCTCTCTCTCTTTTCTTCTCTCTCTCTCTCTCTCGTCTCTCTCTCTTCTTTCTCTTCTCTCTCTCTTTCTCTCTCTCTCTCTCTCTTCTCTCTCTCTCTGCTCTCTCTCTCTCTCTCTGGCTTCTCTCTCTCTCTCTCTCTCGTCTCGTCTCTCTCTCTCTCTCTTTCTCTCTCTCTTTCTCTTCTTTCTCTCTCTCTTTCTCTCTCTCTCTCACTCATCTCTCTCTCTCTCTCTCTCTCTCTCTCTCTCTCTCTCTCTCTCTCTCTCTCTCTCTTCTCTCTCTCTCTCTCCTCTCTCTCTCTCTCTCTCCCTCCTTTTCGTTCTCTTTGTCTTTATTTTTCATTTCACGTTCTTTCTCTTTTCTCTTTTTCCCCGTTTTCATTTTCTCTCTCGTTCTCTTCTAGTTCTCCCCCCCTCTCTCTCCTCTCTCTCTCTCTCTCTCTTTCTCTCTTCTCTTCTCTCTCTTTCTCTCTCTCTCTCTCTTTCTCTCACTCTCTCTCTCTCTCTCTCTCTCTCTCTCTCTCTCTCTCTCTCTCTCTCTCTCTCTCTCTCTCTCTCTCTCTCTCTCTCTCTCTCTCCTCTCTCCCTCCCCGTTCTCCCTCTCGTTCCTCTTTTTGTTCTTTATTTTTCTTTTAATTTTTCCACGTTTTTTTCCCTTTTCCCTCTTTTTCCTTCTTTTTTTCCCGTTTTTCATTCATTTTTCTCTCTCGTTTCTCCCCT